AATAATATAACATTTTATAAAGATAATAATTAAGTATTCTGTTAGAACTCAATGATTATCCTAATTATATTTTAGATTTTTTATATTTAAAATGAAATGTTTATCCTGTATTTGATTGTGTTTATCTGCAGTTAGTTACACGAACTCAGATCTGGGATGAAATCGGATAGGGATGAACGGGTTTAAGAGTTTTTAAGAGTTTTAAGAGTTTTTAAGAGTTTAAGAGTTTTTAAGAGTTTTAGCCAAATGTTTTATAAAATAGTATATATATATATATATAGAGAGAGAGAGAGAGAGAGAGAGATGTTGGTTGTTGTATTAACCCAATAAATGATGTTAACTTTGTGAATCAATCTTAACCCTTCATTTTGAAAATCTATGGTTTATATTTATTATGACATTCTTGATATTAGAATAAGATTCATTATAGACATAAATGGACGCTTATGAACAATGGTACATTTGGAAAAAATCATAAAGATTTTTGTAACCATGTTCTATGTTAGTAAACACATGCACTATATAGTCTAGTCACATATGAAATAAATGTGGAATGGTACATGGTTTACTTATGAACAAATATTAAGTTGTGCTTATGAACAATGTTCATGTGTTTACTTCTGAATATTGTTCATTTTTTTTTTCAAAATAATTGGTAATTTATATATACCTAGTTTGCGTTACGTGTATGTGGTAATATGGTTCACATATGAACCCAATAGTTTCTTAAATGTTGAAACAAGATGGATCACCTATAAACAAGTGTTTACTCATGTATGTAACCAACAATTAATTTGATTAATTAATAAATGTAACCAACAATTAATTTGAACAAATTAAGAAATGTAACCGGTAATTAATTTACATTAATTTGAACAAATTAAGAAATATATGTTTACCTTTATTAAATAAATACTAGAAGGGTACTCGCACAATGCAGCAAGATACATCTCAATTTTAGTGTTTCGTTTTTTTTTTGTTTCAGTCAATACTATAATACGGTTTTATGTGGTTTTGAGAAAACGATAATGTATTTAGTTTTGAATAAAATATATATATGAAGATTCATAAAAAATAAAAATAAAATGATACTAGTACCAAATTAACTATTTAAATTTTTTCTTTTTTTGTGTATTTCTTTAACTCATTTTTTTTATTTTTGGTTTAATAATATTATCTTTATATCTTTGTTTGGCAAGCTGCTGTAAGTTTTCGTACTTTAATTTTGATAAATCAATCAAAACCATAAGATCATTTGAAGGAAGTTGTGATTTGTCCTTATTTCCTATATATGATAAAACTTTATTGTGAACATCAAACATGAAACCAAATAGCTTTTAGTCTAGCGGTATCGTAGTCTTCGGTCTCTTAGTAGGTTAGAGGTTCAAACTTTATCAAAAATAAAAAAGGTGTGTGAGTTTATTTATTATCTTTATTTTATACAATAATATATCACTACACACATGTGATTTGTGTTTTATGTGTTAAAAACATGCAATAGAAAGTTATGACAATCTTGACTAATTGCACCTTTATTTTTGGCCAACGACTATTCTTCTTGACAAACAAACAAATAGGATACACACAACGAGAACGTCATATCATACACAATCACTTGTTATTGTGTACAAAGTCAAAAGTATGAGCACATGTGGTTATGCATAAGATTATGAGTGTGGTAATATATAAAACTGTATTAGAAAACTTTCCAAAAGAGTCCTTCAAGAGAGAAGAAAGATTATTTCTAACATATATAGAGAATAAATGATCCAATTCTAACCGATGTAGACTCTAATACGCCCCTCCAAATGGAGGCTAGAAAGCGCATAGATTGTCGTAGAATGTCCAAAAGGGGAAAGATGGATGGAGTATTAGACAAGTATAGATTGCCCCAGAGTATTGAGTTCTTAGAGTGGTGGACCTTGACTCCAAGTCTAGCACACGTAAGACTCTAACACACCCTCTTACAGTATCAAGAGGGGCAAGACAGATAAGAAGGTTAGACAAGTATTATAGATTGTTCTAGAGTATCGAATGCCTAAAGTGGTAGACCTTGACTCTAATAACATGTGAGAATATATGGAATGTAACAACTCGCATAATCACATAAGAAATATCAAATAACTTACATATATAAAAACATAATTGGTTTATTACATACTAGCTTCAGACACAACAATCCACATATCATGATATCAAGCTTTTCCCTTTCCTTTGCCTTCTAACCGATGTTACCCTAAAATGCATATTTTTTAAATAAAAAGTAAGTTAGATCATACCATCTAGTGAGGAAATCACTGACAATTTCATAATCCACTAGAAAACAGTTAGTGCAGAACATTTAAACATGTTAGACAAAAGTTAGCACTATGGCTCAACATTCCTCCCAAGTAACTTGCCACAATAGTCGTTACTGATCAATCACACACACCCCTATAAGGTTGCAATCAATATCAGTTGTGGCCACCATGCGAAACGAATTCGTGGGTAATATATAAATTCATCCCCTCTGCCGGGGCCGGCCCTGACCATAAGTTTGGAGGCGACAGCCCAAGTAGAGATGGCCAAATCGGCCCGGCCCGGCCCGGGACTGGTAAGGACCGGTTATGGGATCGAAAACCGGGATCGGTTGAGGTTTTTGGTAGTTTCATGGGACCGGGACCGGTTATGGAACCGACTATGGACCGGCCCGGCCCGGCCCAAAAATTCAAGTAATTTTATAAATAAATGTATTTTTAAATAATTTTATAATGTATTTTTATAAGAAAACGTAATTTTAATTATATTAAAACGCATTTTTAAAGTGTATTTTAGTGACCCAATTGTAAATTTTATAATGTATTAAAAATATATATCATTAAAAAAATAAAAAATAAAATCTTATTTTTTAATGCAAGGACCGGTTAGGACCGATTGGGACCGGAACCGGAATCGGCGGCCCATAACCGGTTATGAAGTACCTTGACCGGTCCTATCATTTTCGACCGGGACCGAGTCCGGGACCGGTTATGGCCGGTTATGAGAAAGTTTAGGACCGATTGGGACCGGGACCGGCCTTACCGGGACCATTTTTGGCCATCTCTAAGCCCAAGACAGCACAAAGCCCAAGTACATTAATTTTCTAAGGCCCGATATATGTATCGTATAGGCCCAATTTGATTTGGGCAAAGTATTACCGTTACTAGTCACTACAATCTCAATCGGCCGTTCAATTTGTTCTCCCTCACAACTCACGACCGTCGCACTTGCTTTCACTCTCACTCTCTGCCTCTCTCGAGTCTCGACTATCAACCGCCGACGGCCGACCGGCCGGCTCTCGCTCTCGAATTCGCATCTTTGACTCTTGTGAGTTGTGACTTGTGAGGTTAGGGACTTAGGGTTATTTACTTTACTTATTTCATTTTTTATGTTTCTAATTCTTGTTTGATTGCAAAACCTAAGTATGAAGCTGTGAAATTGATACTTTGTGGTTTGTCATTTATGTTTCTATTTCTTGTTACTGACTTACTGTATCACTTGATTCACTTCAGTCCTTCACTGTATGTCTGTTAAAGATGTATGTATAATTCACTGTATGTCTGTTACTTATATTTTATTTTTATGTTTCTAATTCTTGTTTGATTGTTTGATTGCTTGATTGCAAAGCCTAAGTATGAAGCTGTGAAATTGGTCCTTTGTGGTTTGTCATTTATGTTTCTAATTCTTGTTACTGTATCACTTGATTCACTTCACTGTATGTCTGTTAGTCTGATTGTATAATGTTAATGTATCATGTATGCCTAAATCCTAATTGAAATCCATGCCTTTTGCTGCCATTTGTTAATTGTTGGGTGGTTGACTGTTAATTATACATACTGTATCATGTATGTATAATGTCCTTTGTGGTTTGTCATTTATGTTTCTAAGTGTAGGGAAGCCAGAGTCTTTGGTTAATGGTGAGCTTTCAAGTTTTGAGTTTATTGTAAGTTTGGTTATTTGGCATGTTAATATTCCTTATGTCTTAAATCCTAGCCTAGGTACAGTAAAAGAGGTAGAGGAAAGTAATTTGCTGCAGAAATTATCAGAAGCTTGCATTGTTGATTTCTCTTAGATCGACTCATCAACTGCACAAGTAAGTTTTAATGTTTGTTTAAAGTTAAATGAATACTATTGTTATTAATTGATCTAGCTTTTCATCGAATCAATCAAGCCTATTTCTGAAGTTTTAGTTCTTCGTTATGTGATTAATATTCAAGTTATCATCCACCGATTTTTGTTTTAATCCCATTAGATTTTGATGTATATTAACACAATTTCAGCAACTATAATATAGTTGAAAACAGATCTATAGATGTGCAGTAGTTAAGTGATGATTTGCCCTCACTTGAATGTGCAGTAACTAATTCACATGACTGTTCTCCCTTAACTTTGCAATTTTACATATGAAACTCATGATTGTCATTGGTCAAGACCCTAAATATGATTATATGAAAACACATGATGGCATGGAGTCATGCATTAGCTAATTTCATAGGCAAACACCTTAAGTGACTAAAACTAGTAGGACAAAATTAGTGAAGTAGGAATGAGCCATTGATGTTGTAGAGTGTAAATAATTGAAGAAGAACCAACCAATTAAGTGTTTGGAGTTGGATTGAGAAGGTACGAGTGTTGATTTTGGTTTATATAGAAGACGTGGGATGTAGTAAATGGGACAAGTAGATGAGTTAGTGTTATGATGCTCCTTATTTTGGTTTTGGACAAGTAGATGGATGAGTTGGTGTTTAAACGCAAGGGCTATAACAACTTGATTAAAGAAACCTTAATATATTATTTTAAAGTAAACACTCAACTATAAGATCACACTTATGAACAAAAAACACTAATGGATCTCTCGGTCTATGAAGGAAAAAGCTAGACAATTGTAAATTACCACACTTGGATGTTTTTAATTGCGCATCATTTGGACTTTTCGCCGTGGGCACCAAAAATCTCAGGACCGGCCCTGCCCCCTGCCGACCATCATAGTCTTAACATACCCAGCTCTTGTTGTGTAAATCTCTTTATCCCAAGAGTTAACAATTACACCACATGTGTTAATCTCCACAACATGTAAAAATGTCATATAACAGTTAACGGTGATCATCTAAACATACCAATAAGGTATAACATTGTAATAGCAATCATTTGATAATATTTACATTTCAGTTCAAAAATGGTTGAAAAAAAACTCACCTTTTTTTGAGGGACCAAATTTATTATTAAAAATTGAAGCTAAGGAAAGAGGAAGGTGAATAGACAAAAAATGCCCTCTCACTAACAAAAACTTAGGGACGTCTCTTGTTAATAATTTCTTTTAGAAACCTTATTCGTTAGTTTATTCATGTGCTTTGTGTTTTTCACTTAAGAAGTGTAAATTTGGAATCAACGTTGAAGGTGAAAAGTAATTCGTATGATGTGCAAAGCCAAAATGTATCTTTTGTTTTGGAAATGAAGGATTAGCTAATTGGTCCACGTGGTATTAGGGGTTTTTTAGCGTTTATGGTAATCGAAGGGAATTTTTTAGGGCTAAAAAACCTGAAAGACTTTTGCCTGTCAGTCTAGAAGAAATCGCCGTCGCTCCATCTCAACTGATATGGATCAGCAACCACTGGTAGAGGATCCTGAGAGGAAGAAGAAGAAAGAAGAAAAGGTGGTTTATGTCGATTCATTTTAAGTTTTTTTTAGCTTTTGTATTTTTTATCTTCTAAAAGAATGAGCATAACTCTCCCCTATCATCTACTGCGAATATCAACAACTATTTGGTGTTTGGTGGGTAGGCAAAAGAGAAAGAATTGAAGAGACTTAAGGCCGCACAGAAAGCTGAAGCAGCGAAACTGAAGGTATAGTTAAACTGAAATTACCATCTTATTTTAGTGGACGCGATACATATGTGAATTTTGAAAATAATACGCCCACCATTTCACAAGTAATAGATACGACTTGATCTTTTAATTGAGGATTAATCACTACATTAAACCGTCCAAGAATTGAAAAAAGGTCGTGTTTAAAATTAATTGGAATTTGGGGAGTAATAGGTCTGATACTTCAATCAACCTGGACACTTATATCATGTGATTTCTATGAAGTATATTGATTTGCCAGTCACTTTCCTTTATTTTTTTGTCTCAAGGCACAACAAGGGAATTCTTCCTCAAAAGCTAGTAAAAAGAAGATCACAAAGGCAGATGCAGCAGAAGAAAATCCAGAAGATTATGTTGACCCAGATACGTCTTCCGGTGAGAAAAAAAAACTCTCCCGTCAAATGGCAAAGCAGTTTTCTCCTGCTGCAGTGGAAAAATCGTTAGTCTTTTCCTGAAAAAAACTCATGTTTGATGTATTGTAATTTATGGAGATTGATATCACTAATTTGGAATTGTTTCTCTAGATGGTATGCTTGGTGGGAGCAATCTCGTTTCTTTGAGGCAAATTCCCAGAGCTCAAAACCACCATTTGTGATTGTGAGCTTTGTTTCCTTACCTCTTCTAATTATTTTTTTGCTTAATTCCATTTGAGGAAAACTGTATAGATAATTGAAGCTTCTAGATCTTTATAAATCAGTTGCCTTTTCTTTTTTTACATGAAGATTGTATGTAAAAGGGTATGTATGAGGTTATGGAAGTATCAGTTTTCATTATTTCACTATACAAGTTCTCTTCATGTGTAAATGCAGGTTCTGCCACCTCCCAATGTGACTGGAGCTCTACATATAGGGCATGCCCTTACTGCTGCTATCCAGGTTTCACAGATTACAAGGAATTTCCTGATTAAGCACAGTTTTTCTTTTTCCTCTTTGCAACTTGACTCGTTTAAGATTGCTGTTGATTGCTATATCATGTAGGATACAATTATCCGTTGGCGGAGAATGTCGGGATACAATACCTTGTGGGTGCCCGGCATGGATCATGCTGGGATAGCTACTCAGGTTGAATTCACAACCTTTACTATTATTTATGAACATTGTTGTCATACAATAATCATTCATTATAAGAGGAGGTTTTGTACATACCCCTTAATGTGAAATGTTATAAAGCAAAATTTGTATAATGCTTTGTCTATGCGTAAACGAAATACGTAATTTGGGGGCTATTTACTAAACACTTACGGCCTCTTACCTAGTAAGAGGTGCTTACCCTGTCAGAGATGATGGTGTTTACCAATAATCTTATTGGGCTATTTTGCTGACCGGGAATCTTACCCAGTAATTGTGGTGACCCGGTTTGTGCTTAATGAGTTTGTGCTGGACTGTTGGTAAATGGCTTTTAGACACCAAGCAGATGTATCTTTGGCCAGTATGTTAGTCTAGAATTGGACACCTGTACAGTTTTTTGGCTTACTTCACAGTTCAGGTTTATTTAGATGCAAGGCATTGTCTACTTGAATATGGTCTGTGACTTTTTATCATAGTTCAGTTCAATCTTTCATTATATGTTTAAAATGTTATTAGTTTTCTTATATGTATCTAACACTGTCTCACCGGTAGGTGGTCGTGGAGAAAAAGATCATGAGGGAAAGGAAAATGACACGGCACGATGTGGGCCGAGAGAATTTTGTATCCGAAGTGAGTTTGACCGTCATATTATTCTATATTCCTTTGCTGGTGATGCTTTTTTAGTTCATTATCGTTTTGTTTTGCTAGAATGAGTCCTGAGTTATTTGCTCCCATATTACTGTGATTTTTGATGAGTTGGTATTTGATGAAGGTGTGGAAGTGGAAAAATGAGCATGGGGGCACAATATTGAAACAACTCCGGCGTTTGGGTGCATCTTTGGACTGGTCACGTGAGGTAAAAGCTTGTAGGACTTTTTATTTGATGGCTCCTGAAATTGTTTATACTCTTTGAACGCTTCAAAATATTCTGCATGTGGATTCTAAGTTCAGTTTTTCTGTAATATCAGTGCTTTACGATGGACGAAAAAAGGTCACGGGCTGTATCAGAAGCTTTTGTTAGGCTTTATAAGGAAGGTCTTATTTATAGGTACTCTTGACAAGTTGACATAGATGTACTTTATTACCCTTTTAATCTTCATTGGTGATTTTTAATTTGGTTTTTGACTATTCTATTCGTATCAACTGTAGGTATATTTGTTTTACTCATTCTTTTTATTCTAATTCTTAAAATTATCATTATTCTACTTGCATTAACAGGTATTATTAAGCATTTTGCTGGTCATTTATGTTATTTCGTAGGTTAAATATTGTTGACAGTTGCCTTATGATTAACTCAAATATGATTAACCACCTATTCCCTTTACATCAGAGATTTGCGGCTGGTGAATTGGGATTGTGTCTTGCGAACGGCTATATCTGATATCGAGGTAGGCGATCAACACTCGATCTTGACCTTACATTGCAACAATGAGATACTCCCTCCATCCCAAAATAAGTGTCAGACAATTTCTATTTTAGTTTGTCTCAAGATAAGTGTCCACTTTTAAAATTAGGTGTCCACTTTCCAATTCTACCCTTAATTATGAGAAAGAGAAATTCATTAGTCCTTCTACTATTAAGGCTAAATTTGTCATGTAGTTAATTTAAAAGTGTAATGATAATTTTACATGTCTAAAACTGTGTGCCTTTTTCATTGCGGACATTTATTTTGGAATAGAGGGAGCATTTATTACATATCTGATGCTTGTACTTGCAGGTGGATTATGTTGATATCAAAGAGAAGACACCTTTGAAGGTTCCTGGATACAAGAACATGGTGGAATTTGGAGTGTTGACATCATTTGCATACCCTCTGGAGGAAGGACTTGGAGAGATCGTTGTGGCTACGACTAGAGTTGAAACGATGCTTGGAGATACGGCTATTGCTGTTCATCCTCAAGATTCGAGATACAGCCATCTTCATGGAAAGTTCGCCATTCATCCATTTAATGGAAGAAAACTTCCAATAGTTTGTGACCCAATACTTGTTGATCCAAAATTTGGAACCGGTGCTGTTAAGGTGACAATAACTATTTGTAGTCTAGGGAAAATTGGTCAGTAAATTTCAATGAGTTTCTTGTTTCATTGTTTTGATTTGAAGGAGTCTTCGCATTCATTGTGTTGCAGATAACTCCAGCCCACGATCCAAATGATTTTGAGGTTGGAAGGCGTCATAACTTGGAGTTCATCAACATCTTTACTGATGATGGGAAGATAAATAGTAATGGTGGTTCAGAGTTTGTAGGTATGCCACGCTTTGAAGCTCGTGTAGCAGTGACTGAGGCTTTAAAGTCTAAGGTACTTTTACATATTCATCAATACTCTATACATTGTATGTGGTTTCTGGATATTAAATGCTTTTTTTGCTATATATTATTTGACAATGTTGTGAAGTTAGAGATGGTTATTGCTTGTAAGGAATTAGGTGTATTTCTAGTAGATTTACATGCATATTTTCTTCGTTAGCACGCTGGCATCAAGATTCATCAGTGGCTAGTTGATACTCCATTGCATCGCCCAAGCCACATGTTGTCATTTAAATGCCAACGCTAATAATTTTGAATTTGAAATTGACTATATACATTTTATCGCAAAGATTTTCTATTTTCAGCTGCTTTTCATAGTTTAGCACTGCTACAGATTTTTTCTTGAAAAATTAAATATATTAATATTAGGTTTGAAGTTAAAAAGCAAGTCCTTCGAGATTAAAAAGTCATAAGGTGACACCTAAAGTAGAAAAGTAGGAGTATTATAACTAACTCATCTAGATGCTTAAGTTGTAAAGAGAGGCCTGAACACTTTACCCTGGTAATTCAGCTTGTCATACGGCACTCATACATTAGCACTCCTTTTATTTGTTACTCTATGGAATGTAAACAAATTAAAAGACAGCGCACTCTTGTGAAATGATCCAATACAATAATAGCTCTTATACCAGGTTAAGTAGGTTTCTTTATGGAAGTGTAGCTATTGTGTGAAGGTCTTCAAATGCATGCCTTATTTTCAAAAAATATTTGTCTCATTCGAGATTTTTTTTTTCTTCATACAGGGACTCTATAAAGGTGAAGAAAAGAATGAAATGCGTCTAGGTCTTTGTTCAAGAAGCAATGATGTGATTGAGCCTATGATAAAGCCTCAGTGGTATGTCAACTGCAATAGTATGGCAAAGGAAGCTCTTGATGCTGTCATGGATGAGAAAAACAGGAAAATGGATATAATTCCAAGACAATATGCTGCTGAATGGAGAAGGTAATTGCACCATGTCTGCCATCTTTATGGGTTTTTTCTCACACCTGCACATACTCGTATTCAATGGTCATTTTGTAGACTACACAGTGGATATCATACCTGAATTTATCTTAATGCTTGGTGACAATAATGACTTTTATTCTCTTCTTACTAACAACTGCTTCTGCTATTGTTATGTATTTACTATTATTATTGTTATACGATGATAAGATGATCATTATTATCATCGTCATTACTGTCATATGCTTTTTTGCTCACCGCTTGTACATTTTGTGCTATTATTATACATGTCCTCTATATCATATATGATGAAAATTCATTTGAATACACACTCTTACAAGATCTTTTATGCTCTGGGACATTTGGAGCGGAAAATCAGTGATAATCATTGTTTTCAGTTGGGTGGATGCTATATGGAAGCCAACCAATTGGGCTTTCCCAATAGTTCTAAATGTTTATTTGTCATATATGTCGTGTCTCAGGAATTTTGCGATAAATTTATCCACCTAAGCTGTATTGAGTTTTGGTTCCACAGATGGCTTGAGAACATTCGTGATTGGTGTATATCAAGGCAGCTTTGGTGGGGTCACCGTGTACCTGCATGGTATGTTACCTTGGAGGAGGATAAACTGAAGGAACTTGGGGCATACATGGACCATTGGGTGGTGGCTAGGAATGAGGAAGAGGCCAAGGAGGAGGCTAGCAGATTGTTTGTTGGGAAAAAGTTTCAGCTTGCTCAAGATCCTGATGTTTTAGACACCTGGTTTTCTTCAGGCCTCTTTCCATTATCTGTATTGGGGTGGCCAGATAACACTGAAGATTTGAAGACATTTTACCCAACTTCTATTCTCGAAACTGGACATGACATTCTCTTCTTCTGGGTTGCCCGTATGGTGATGCTTGGGATGAAATTGGGAGGTGATATACCTTTCACAAAGGTTAGTTAAGTTTAAATGACCGCAATTCTACCTCAAAATTTAAGGATATTGTGTTAAAAACTTAAATATTAAAATCTTAAACTCTCCACCTCTGAGTGTGTGTGCACACAAAGACCCCTATATACCACTTCGATTCCTGTTCATTTTCATTTTCAGGCATATCTATAAACTTAAAATGTTCGAGAATATGTGATGTCGCTAAATAATAAATTGAACATCAAAATAGACAAGTCATACATGCCCTTAGCCTAACCATTTGGGTAAAACATTTTTCTTTTTTGGAATGTGGTTGGGCTGAGAGCCCTGTTGGTTGACTTGTTTAATTGTTTCGGAACAAGGTAACGAGTTATTCAGCTAGGAAATTGGCAAGATTTTGTTTTTGTTTTATTAGTCGTATACCTGAAGAGGGTGTACTATTTAACATTGTTATAGTTACCACAATAATTTGAACATTCATTTGAATTTGTCTTCAGGTTTATTTACACCCCATGATTCGTGATGCACATGGCCGTAAGATGTCAAAATCTTTGGGCAACGTGGTTGATCCTAATGAAGTCATAAGTGGAATACCCTTGGAAGGTCTTCACAAGAGACTGGAAGAGGGCAACTTGGATCCTACTGAATTGAAGGTTGCCAAAGAGGGACAGAAAAAGGATTTTCCTAATGGCATTCCTGAATGTGGTGCAGATGCTCTACGATTTGCCCTTGTCTCTTACACTGCTCAGGTACCATCTATTTCTTTCTCTAGCTTTACTTTTAATAAAATTTCTTAATCACTTTACTCTTTTTTTAAAGTTTTTAATGAACTAAGTAAGGGCACACAACTTGAAATCCCTTTTTCCTCGATTGATTATTATATGCTCATAATATGTATACTCTATATGTGCCATACACAAACCAAACTAAATCAAACAAACCCAGTTGGTACCACTTGAAAGTAGGGTCTGGGAGTGCTAGGATGATGCCAACCTTACCTCAACCATGAGGATTGAGAGGCTGTTCCCGTGAAGATGTGTGCAAGCAGGCAATAAGATGGGCAATATAACTGGTAATTGGGAAATATAACGGGTAAAAACGATTCATGGTGTGTGCATGATGCAATGGTGTGCAAACAGACAATCTAAAGTAGAACATGTAATACAAGTAGCAACTAATGAATATAGCAACTATACGTACCATGTTGTATGTAAATATATATTACTCCAATCAGACACATTCGGCTCGTTGCCTTTTGTTTTATTTATTCTAACCTGCGCTCCTAAAATTTAAGGTCGCGTTACTTTTCGAATATATAATGTATTTAATCATGAAGACACTTTATTTATTTTTATTCTAGTGGATTTAGATTTCTTTGTATGTATGTTCATATGCGAATGCATCCCAGTATCCTTCATTTTACTGCCACAGATTGCTTGCAGTATCCATTTATTCTGCAGCTATATCATTGCTTGTACTTTTAATGTATTTTAGTTTTTACCCTGCAGCTCACTATACTAATTTTATCTAATTGTCATTCCAGTCAGATAAAATAAATCTGGATATACAACGAGTTGTTGGATATAGGCAGTGGTGTAATAAACTATGGAATGCTGTGCGATTTGCAATGACCAAACTTGGAGACGAGTACACTCCTCCAACAAAGATAGTTCCAGAGAGCATGCCATTTAGTTGCCAGTGGATACTTTCTGTATTAAACAAATCTATATCAAAAACTATATCATCCTTGGATTCTTATGAGTTCTCAGATGCATCCACTGCTGTATACTCTTGGTGGCAGTTTCAGCTGTGTGATATTTTCATTGAAGTAATCAAGCCTTACTTTTCTAGTGATGATCCGTCAGTGGCATCTGCAAAGCGTTATGCACAAGATACATTATGGGTGTGCCTGGACAATGGACTAAGACTGCTCCATCCATTTATGCCATTTGTTACTGAAGAATTGTGGCAGCGACTTCCTGCACCACAGCACTATCCAAGGGAAAAGTCTATCATGATATGTGAATACCCGTCAATTGTGGAGGTTAGATACCAAACCCTAATTTTTTATTTGGGAAATTTATTTAACCATATAGGATGGGACCTAAGGGTATAGGTTTTAAATATTTATCTGCCTCTGATGATTATGACTACTAGTATAACAACTCAGATCAAATGATGGAAAAATGTCTCTGATACTACTGTTTATTGCCACTTACAGTGCTGGACAAATGAAAGGGTAGAATATGAGATGGGTATGGTTGAGTCTGCAGTGAAATCACTCAGATCAATCAAAGCGAACCTACCTGCAAAAGAAAGAAATGAAAGGTAATTGGCAAAACAATGTGTTCCCCCTCCCAGCACTCAGTATTTTGGCTATCTTACCTCTCCTTTCCCCCTCTTTCTTGCTCTTATTCGTGAGAATTGCTACCATGACTGTCTGCCTTTAGAATTTGAGTAAATGTCATGACTGCTATATGTTTAACAGTTTCAAGCTCTGTATTTCAATTTTCGACTATATTACAAATTTTCAAAATTTACCTATGTTACCGGTCCATCTTGTAACTCCTGAAGTTTTCAACTTTTTGCTCATCGGGTTTTGGCTAGGACTATGAGGTTATTTCAGTAACAGTACAGTTTTGATCATAAAAGTATGCTTCTGTTTTCAGGCGAGCAGGTTTTGCAGTTTCACGAACTGATCAGATTGTGGACCTTCTCAGACGCCATGAGATGGAAGTCTCCACCTTAGCCAACCTATCATCATTAACAGTATGCATTTTGTCTCATAAAAGTATGTTGGACTTTGTTTTAGAAACATCAGTGGAAGTTGTTTATTCAGTTAGGTGCTGTTTACCAAACGCTTACCTGGGTAAGCGCTTACCAAGTCATTTTATTTTACCGGATGAATATGGCAAGGGCTAATAATCTTACCCGGTAAGAGCGAAGGCAAGAGTCGAGAGTCTTACCCGGTAAGTAAGGACGAGGACTCTTACCATGGTTAGCGCTTACCAGGATAAATTGTTGCGTACGAGGCGTTTTAGTGAATAAAATCTTACCCGGTAAGTAAGCGATAGTGTTGAATTTTACCGATAAGTGCTTATCGGGTAAGTGTTTAGGTAAACAGCCCCTAACTTTTTTTCTTACTTTCTAAGGTGAATAATGCTCTCTCATTTATGTTATAAAAGGTAGCTGCCATTGCTGATCCTATGTTAGCATTGCCACTGCAACTATAAGGGGGCATTTGGTTTGATGGAATGGTTTTGAGGGATTTGGATTTCGTGGAAGGATTTGGATTTGGAATCTTTAGTGTGTTTGGTTTGTAGGAGTTGGAATGGAATTGAATTCCATTTTTTATAAATAATTTCTAAAACAAATTATATATAATTATAAAAATATAAATTACCTCTTTATTAATTGATTATTAACAAATGCTTTCAACATATTATAATACATTATTATTCACAAAGCCTACAAAATCCAACAAAATACCAGCAACCTCCATGGGATTTCAATAAAATCCCGGGATTTCAAATCCTAGCAATCCTTCAAATCAAACATGGGATTGTAATGGAATTGAATTCCAAATCCTATCTAATCCTACAAACCAAATGGGACCTAATTAAATTCAGCATTGATGGTATTATGGTGGGTTGTGGCTGTTAACATACGTTAAGTTCTCAACTAAATGACACCATTGCTACTAAGTACCAACTGTATTTCTAGGAGACGGCTTGGTTATCAAAGAAAGTAAGTTTTGCTGGGTAACTGGAGTTTGCTACCATCTGAAATCAGTGGTGAAAGTTGATATCTATGTGTTATGGTACATTTATAACATTTGCAGGTATGTGGTAAATGGATGCAGATACATACCTCTTGTATTTGTTATTTATGGGTAACTGAGAGAAAACAAGGATGGACTGGGGAGGGAAATAGTCGTGTCTTCTTGTTTGTTGGAATGATAATGATCAAGGCTGAGTAAGAGAGGATCTTCTGTTCAGAGAGGACATATGTAAGAAAAACATGAAAATTTGGGAAAACCAACCTCAGTAAAAATTAAAATCGGAGTTCATCCATGATTTTTCATTTCTTGCAAAATGTCAGGTTTTCATGACTTTGAAACATAATCTGCAAGATTTTGAATCTGTGGTTAGAGCTCAGGAAATTTGTTAAGGTTTTTAAATGCCTTAGAAAACTGAATCGTTTGCCAGAAATTTTGATCTCAGTTTTTAAATTTGTGCCTACCAATACCTAAAGTATAAAATGATTTTCTAAACTTAATGATACCGTACAAGTTCCTTAGGTTACTAGTATGATTATATGTTTTTTGGTGTTGTGATCGTATTGAGGCAGGAAGTTCTATACTGCATGATGAGCACCTTGATTTTGCCTTTTTATGACGGTTATAGAACTTATGGATGGATTAAAATGGGGCCAAACATGAGTATCTGCTTGAGCCAAGTTTGTTCTTTATTTGTGTGGTGATGATGATAGGTTGCTTTATGCATTAAACAGCTTTCTGTCTCATTGTTCTCCGAGTGGGACAGAAATGAAGATTCTTTTAGCTTCTGCAATACACATCAGCATAGTCCGCTTGTCTCTTCTAGGATATCATTTGACAGAGGGTAGCTTGTAGATGCTATAGCTAGTTGTTTTCTTGAAATGTAGTGATTTCCATGAAGTAAATGCCAACCATTGTGAGATGTAGAAATTCAGTTTTTGATGTGCCTAGTATTATAGGGGATAATGATAATCATATACTTTGGTTCAATGTTAATAAAGATGTATTTTGGGGTTGTGAAACTTTAACGAGGTGGGTTATGATGTAAGATTGTGACAGAGAAGTGTAATGAACAGGGTAAAAAGTACTGGTGAAAGAAGATGGAATGATGCCTACCTACCCTCCCAAGGGATCAAATATGAGAGCCACGTTCACTAACAAAACAATCATGAAATACCAACTCCATTTGAAAGCTGCTAATTTTAAGTACTAGAGTCCTGCAACCGCTGTTATTCCTGCTGATCTCCAAATATCATATTCTTTCAATCGTCATTAATTGTCTTGTCTTACCCATTAATTCATCTGAGCCAAATGAGGGTTTTGATGATTAACCAAAGTTCTGGGTCATTTCATTACGGTTGGATGGTGTACATTACAAGGTGCATGCTATAAGATTATTTCTTCTAGATGTTTAATCTGCTACCTTCAGCCTATATTGAAAAGTGATACTTGAGCACTAGTTGAAATGTCAAAATCTGCTTTCAGAGCTGTGGGTTGAAGTGAACAGTAAACTGTATGATTGGTAAGTTTTTAGATATAGATGAAGAAAAGAAGCAATTTGCAAGGAATTACAACTTGACTTGGAGTCCCATTTACAAAAAAGAAAGAAAGAAAGATTTCCTACAAGTTTCAATGAAGTAAAGTAGGAAAGAAACATGGCTAGATGTAATTTTTGTTGGAAGGTTGAAGTATGCATATTTCTAGTTACAGTAAATAGAATTATTCAAGAATCAATCTAAATCGATTTAATTATGCTGATTATGCTATTAAGTGTTGGTTTTATAAAAATTGTTCCTGAGCTTTGCAAAAATATTATCTATGATCTGGTAATGTGTTTGTATAATAACAAATTTAATAGCTTGATCATTTAGGCTTCTTTTTGTGTAGCTAGATTCTATAGCTTTTAGAGTTTGACTCGTGTCTTCTTCTTTGTAACAATCAAATTTTCTCATATTTCCAATTAACATTGTGCAGGTTCTTACTGAGAATGATGCTGCTCCAGCTGGATGTGCAGTATCTGTTGTAAATGAATCCCTTTCAGTTTATCTAAAGCTTCAAGGAGCTATTGATGTTGAAAAAGAACGCGAGAAACTCAAAACAAAGTTGAACGAATTACACAAGTAAGAACTTCAGTGTTCTGTTGGTATTAAATTCTTCTTGTCTTCAACTTGCCAAATTATGCCATTTTCTTCTTTTTATACCATCTATCTTTTAATTAATTGAAACAATTTTTTTCTACCAAATACAAACAGCCAATATGTTCACTGTAAAATGTGAAAATTTTTTACGCATCTACTTGTGGGACCCATTACTATTCGTCAGCCTTCTTGTTTTTACTGTATGCCAACCTTAGTTTTACTTGCTATTACTGTTTGTGTTCCTCCTGTTTTAGTAGTTTGTTTCATCACACTCTACCATTTCCTTGTTAGCATACACATTTCACTTGATATTTCGTGTTAGCAAGCCATGGAAACATCCTCTCTACCCCCCTTGGGTTGGTTTGGTTTGGTTTGGTTTGGTTTAATAATTTGTCATTTTTTTCTAACCGGTGAAATGATGACAATATAATATGTCTTTTCACATTAAGCATGCATGAATGAATGAATGATGATTATATGCATTATCCAGGCAAAGAGAGAATTTAAACAAGACAATGAGTGCTAAGGGGTATGAAGAGAAGGTTCCAGACCATGTAAAAGAAGAAAATGTGTCGAAATTGGCGATACTCATGCAACAACTTTTGTCCATCGAGGAAGCTGCTCAACACTTTGAACGTGAAGTCGCAGCAAAAGCTTCAGCTTTGCAAGACTAAATCAATTTTTCAACATACACCTTTTTCTTTCCCTTATTTAGATTTGCAAATTGCAATTGGGTTTGTATTATTAAAACTTGTACTGTGATCAAAGTAACGTGTTATTGGTTGTGTTGAGACATGCATTTTGTCACCATTGACTGTGTTTTTTTTTTGGTAAAATGATGGTGTGTTGGGGTGATTTTGTATTATCTTACTGTTTATTGCATTTGATCTAACAGAGTAACAGATATGTCTGTTTTATGAAGCAGGGGTTGTTTGGTCTTTTGAAATTTTGCATCGTTGATTCAGAAACTTTGCGTGAGCCTTTAGGAACATATTTAAATCGTACCCAACAAGGAGATGTTTAACATTTTCATATTAACTTATGTTAGATGTTTTCATATTTAGTTATGTTTATTTATGTGAGGTATCTTTAACTTATGTTAAGGTATGTAGATTAATACTTACAAATTGTGGATGATAATCAAATGAGAACCATAAAAATGTTACAAACTTTTGAGAAATCGATATAAAAATATTTTTTACATTAACTTTTTAATCAAAAGTTTTGATTTAAAATATTGTTATACATATGTTTGTGTTTATCTTATAAAAAAATTGTATGTAAAACTTCTTTTTATTTATTTATTTAGTGAAACGAAAAATACATATAAAAATATTCATATGATGAAACAAATATATGTGAAACTATCACATTATGAAACAAGTACATATGAAACAATATTTTAAATGTTAGCATTTGATGAAACAAATATATGTGAAACTATCACATTATGAAACAAGTACATATGAAACAATATTTTAAATGTTAGCATTTGATGAAACAAATATATGTGAAACTATCACATTTATTGGTTTATGTTCCTTACATGCGGATTTGTGCGCTGCCTTGGATGTCGTTTCACCCCGTTTTGGTCCGTTCAGGCTTATGACTCCTTGATGAACTTCCAATTTCATTGTATGATATGAAATAGGAATCAAAGTATTATGCATTACTCATTATTCAATGTGCTTTTCATGAATCTCAAATTCAATTACATGGATCCATATTTCATGAATATGATGGTGGTAATGGTATACAATCTCATTACTTAACACCAATTTTCAGTGGTTACAAAATTGTAATTCATGATGCTAACAATTTCATTTAATTAAATCAATAACTCCATATCAGTACACTGTAACAGTTTAATGTTCATAGAGACGACATATCGTCACACATTTCGTCGCTAAAGATGTCACTACAACAAAATCGGGTTTATAGGACACTCTCAAGTTATAAGTGTCCTAATAGACCTCTTTATAGGACTTAGTTTATATGACCAAAAAAATAAAGTGTCCTATCTAATGGTGTTGTATTAAGTTTATATGATGTTTTTTGATGTCGTAATAAGTTTTTTAGGATACTTTTAACATGAAGTGTCCCATTATCAACTTTATAGAACACTATTTGAAAATTTGTCCTATAAAAAGAAGTGTCCTATAAAAAAATGAGTTTATAGGACACTTTCTCAAAAGTTTTCTATAAAGTTGCTAATACAACACTTTGTATTAAAAATATCCTAAAAAACTCGTTAATACGCCTAAAAGCATCATATAAACTTATTACAACACCTTTAGATATGACATTTTATATTTTGGTTCTATAAATTAAATGTTATAAAAAGGTCTATTAAGACATTTAAAGATTTAAGGTGTCCTATAAACTCAATTTTATTGTAGTGCGTTTCAGTGAAAAGGTTGAAACTCACTTAAACACCTGAGCATTAAATATTATAGATTTTAATCTTTTCTATTAAATAAATGAAAATATTAAGAGGAGAAAGTCGTATATGGGATGTGAGAATATTTTATATTTTATTAATATTATTTATAAATAAATAAAAAGTCAAATCCAATAAATAAAAATGATTAGGGGGAGTATTAAGTCCAAAAGAGCACATGTATTTATTGCGGCCGTCAAAGCGCCGTCTTAAATACTCCGCAACAATACATATCAATTAGCTGTTAACCGCGTACAATCATCGCAAGTTGGTGCTAGAATCTCCACCGTCGATCACTCTTGGGTCCACCATACCAACACGGTGTGTGGAAGCTTCATTTAAATTTGGACGTACACGATGGGATCGTCTGAGCTGTAAAATGAGAGGACACATGGGAACTCCCGTGTATCTCGTCGTCTGTAATCACGGGTCCTACGCGGTAGCTTTAGTTTAGCATTTTGGTACTAACATGTTTCCTATTCCCACCAAAACTTCCATAACTGTGGTGGAATATGGATTTTTTTTACTAATTATTATATTATAAATTAAGAGATCGACTTGAGATTATGTAAGACCAAGAGTTTTTGTGATATCTGTAAGATCAATTCTTAACTCTTGGATTAGATCTACAATCCGAACATTTATAATCACAAAATTGTCACGAGACTTCTCAATAATCACAAAATTGTCATCGTACAACTTTAGACCATTAGATCATCAGCTTATAAATTTGATCAATGAACATAAATTGATCTTACGGATCTCACGAAAAACCTTTGGTCTCACGTGAACTCAACCCTTAAGAGGTCGGTTCATTTAAAAATCTTAAATATTTAATTTATAAACCATTTATTTTGTAAATACTTATAATAAATACTACTATTCACTAGTAATATATGTCATTTATCATGAATATTAACAAAAAGAATGACATCTGGGTTTCTAAAATATTTAAGGTTCACAGATAAACCTCTTTCTATAAACTAAAATAAAGATTAAAGATGGTAAATGAATTTCTTTTAAGGAAATAAAGTTTCAGTTTAGCGATTTATAATTAGAGTTTCTGTGTTTAACCATTGGAAATTACTCAAATTGGTTGCATTGTTATCAATCGTAAAAGGTTTTACATTACGTCGGGTAAGTTCACTGGTGGCAAGAGCCAATAGTACCTTATTAGTGAATCTGCATTTCTCAACTTTACCATCCGGACCCGACCTGTATATTTTTGAACAATATGATGATACTAAAAACCGTAACGAAATATGAACACTTTTTTTTTTCTCACAATCTTGTTATAAAAGTTTTTATTAACTACGTGATATTTACTAAATTTAGATGAAAACATTTCACAAGTTATTGCTGTTTTTAAGAAATTTTAGAATTTCGAATGAAATGTTTTAACGGAAAGAAACTTATGCAACTCAACAAGCCCCGTTGATCCCTCCATTAGTGGCATTAAACATTGTGGCACGTAACTTAAAATGTTTCGTGGCATTTCGTTGTAACTAAAGTTATATAAGGAAAACTCAAATCGTTAAGCAAACGGATATGTTTCTTTTGTTGGTATAAATGTATCGATTGCATTATTATTGGAATTAATGCATCTACTTACATGTGTGACACAAGTCGAAAATGCACGTAATCACATGTAGTATAGACGTGTCGTTAAACGACGAGGTTGGTTTTTGCCTAACAATTTCATGAAAAAGAAACGAGGGTATGAAAGCGTCATCGTTGAAAAGTGTAAGGGGTTACATTGTAAAATAAATTTGGCAAGAGTGAAAAAGGAACAACCCTTTTTTCCACCCATTGCGTACGCAATATTTTTCTTATTTTAATTTAGTTTTAACATAATTTATATTTTAGAAACAAAGTTAATTTATTAAATATTAAATTTATTTAACAAAAACATAAGAAATTTCTTTATCTCACGATTAAAAAAATTAAAAAAAAAACATTTACTTCAAAACAAATTGTATGAAAAAGTAACGTATTTTAATTTGATCTTTTTTTTAAACTTTTATTTTGGTACTTAAGACGTACAGTTTAAACATTTAAGTACTCGGGTGACAGGTTGAAGCATTAACCGGTTACCATGCTAATGTGACGAGTGATGTGGTATCTGGTTAATACTAATTTTGATAGGGTATTTTGTCTTATTCATATTCTAATTTTAAAAGAGTTAAAATAAGAGGTGAGTAGGATGGTTCACTTTACACACACAAAATGGGTCCGTGTCCGTAAAACCCATACATAAATATATGACTCCTATATAAACACTATCATTCCAACTAAACTCTCCATGCAAACACCTCTCTCTCTCTCTCTCTCTCTCTCTCTCTACACACACACTCCTCTCTCTCTCTATATATATATACATACATACATATACGTATATATATATATATCTCAATCGTTCTTGAAAAAAATGCAAAAACTTAACGAAGGATTTACAGGGTTACGGTATTTGTGTATTTTTCTCTGTATTGTTTCAACCGTTAATGCTGAAGATCCATACAGGTTTTTTACATGGAACGTGACATATGGAGATATATACCCGTTAGGGGTTCGTCAACAGGTAAAATTAAATAACTGATCGATCTTATAATTATTGATGTACTTATTATTGAGATCTTATATGTTTTTGATAATTGAATTTGCAGGGAATCTTGATAAACGGCCAATTTCCAGGCCCGGAAATATATTCCGTCACAAACGATAATCTTATTATCAACGTATTCAACAATTTACCCGAACCTTTTCTTATTTCATGGTAAGCGGTTGATATTTCCGACTATAATGTACAACTTTTAATGAATAATGTACAAATAGTTTATGCATGTTTATACTGGACGTAGTTGACTTGAGAAACGTGTACATAAGATGACGCGTAATTAATGTACAAGGTTGTGATTCATGAACATGCAAACAAAAGTAACCAATGCAATTAATTACAGGGCCGGAATACAACAACGTCGGAATTCGTATCAAGACGGAGTTTACGGCACTAATTGTCCGATCCCGGCGGGCCAAAACTTCACGTATAAACTTCAAGTGAAAGATCAGATCGGAAGTTTCTTTTATTTCCCGTCGATTGGTTTCCAAAAAGCCGCCGGCGGTTTCGGAGCGATCAAAATCCTCAGTCGGCCGCTGATTCCGGTGCCATTTCCTGATCCCGCCGACGATCACTCTATTCTCATCGGAGACTGGTACAAATCGGATCACACGGTAATTAATAAATAAAACAAAAACGCGTTTATATATAAACATTATATTTGGTCAATAATCAAGTTTCAAGATTTCTTGATTCTGATCATGGTAGCTCCGCCGTGTTTCAGAGACTCCGAAGAATTATGGACCTTGGATGGCGGCTGCCGTTTCCCGACGGAGTTTTGATCAACGGCCGTGGTGACGGCGGTGTGGCGTATAATGTTGAGCAAGGGAAGACTTATCGGTTGAGGATATCAAACGTTGGATTACAGAATTCGTTGAATTTCAGAATTGCTGGTCACACAATGACACTGGTGGAAGTGGAAGGAACTCACACCGTCCAAACGTCCTTATCGTCGCTGGATATCCACGTCGGACAATCGTATTCCGTCCTTGTCACCGCCGACCAACCACCGCAAGATTATTACATCGCCGTTTCTTCCCGTTTTACCAGTCAGGTCCTCAACACCACCGCCATTCTCCGGTATACCAACTCCGGTAAGGCAGTTTCCGGCCCACCACCGCCGCCGCCCACCACTGACATCACTTGGTCGTTAAACCAAGCTAGATCCATCAGGTAAAGAAAACATCAAGCTATTTTGGAGAGTAATCTAATACGGCATCGATTATTTTTTGCGATGTATTTTGTGTCGCGATTTATCGTTTGTTTACGTTACAGGACTAACCTGACGGCTAGCGGACCGAGGCCGAACCCACAAGGCTCGTATCATTACGGACAGATTAACATTAGTAGAACGATCAAATTAACGGGATCGGCGTCGATAATAAACCGAAAGCAGCGATACAGCGTTAACGGGGTGTCGTTTATTCCGGCCGATACACCTCTTAAACTAGCCGATTACTTTAATATTAGTGGAGTTTTTAAGGTCGGGAGCATTCCCGACGAACCGACGGGTGCGGCCCCGTATCTCGACACTTCGGTTATGGGTGCCGATTTTCGAGATTTCATCGAGATCATATTCGAGAATCGTGAGAATATTATTCAAAGCTGGCATCTTGACGGATACAATTTCTTTGTTGTTGGGTAATTTGGTTTTCTCAAGCTTTAAATTTCACGAAATCTTATTTGCGACACCAACTGTCGCTAATAATATTGTTTCGAATGTGCAGAATGGACAGTGGGCGATGGAGTAATACAAGTCGAAACGAGTACAATCTTATCGACGCAGTCTCACGTTGTACCGTGCAGGTTAGATTCGTAATTTCGTAAAAAAATTGATGTTTCGTTAGAGGTATTAAACAGTAATAAATAAAAATAAAAGAAACTGTCTGGTTTTTTATAGTATAATGGACTCATTCCTCCAGAAGCCCAAAATTTCATTCCTTATTTATTTTGGATACAATACAATACAGGTATATCCAAGATCATGGAGTGCAATATACGTTGCGCTTGACAATGTCGGGATGTGGAATATCAGGAACGAGTTTTTGGTGCGACAGTATCTTGGGGAACAATTTTACCTTCGTGTTTACTCTCCAGTAATGTCACCACGAGACGAATACCCACTACCTCAAAACGCTCTTCTTTGCGGCCAAGCTGTCGGGAAAAGGTCATGATCCGTCGCAAAAAATACCACCCGCAAATGTAAAGTTTGGAACCAAAATTCTTTGTCACGCTTCATTTTTTTTCTTTTGTAAACATTTAAACTGCATTTCTTTAATTTGTCGTTATAAAAATAAATACAAATAGGTATATTTTTTTTCTAAGTTAAATTTATGAGGATTTGGTTATACAAATTTATGTTTAATTATTACAAGGTGTTATTAATGATATTGAATTTGATATGTAATTTATATTATTTGATTTTGTGATAATAAATAATTAATATGTCAAATAAAAGTATGTAAACCTTTTAACAATCGGAAAAATACCCAACTTCTGATTCATAATCACAAATTGTATGATATTTTAATCAATTATTAATTAATTAAGGAGCCGTTTATCAAACACTTACATGATAAGTGTTTATCAACAAAATTTTACATTATCATTTTCTTACCGGTAAGATTTTAGTTCACTAAAATGATATCATACGCAACAATTTACCTGGTAAGCGCTTACCGTGATTAGAGTCGTCCTCCTCACATACCGGGTAAGATACTTAGTCCTTGTTTCGTTTTTACTGGATAAGATTCTTGGTCCTTACCATATTCATCTACTAAGGTAATGTGACTTGGTAAACAGCCCCTAAGATATATAAGGTTAATCAACTTTGTTTTTATTAATAAGACAAAATTGCATAAAAAAGTAACGTACTTTAACTTGATTCTTATTTTGAGTAACGTACTTTTAAAACTTTCATTTTAATACCTAAGATTTAAGTTTTAAACATTTAAATACCAGATAATATTAATAGTATTATTATAGTATATTTTAAATGTGGTATCACAATTTAAAAATTGTAGTAAATGATATAAATCAATCAATTTATATATATTAGAAAAAAAAATATATCCTCTAAGATAACTAGGGATTTTCCTTGTTATCTTCGTCCTCATGGAATTAGTCGAGCGGATTTCCTTTGTTATCTTCATCCTTCTAGAATTAGTCGAGGCCTTCTTCTTGGCAATAGCCTTTTTCTGAACACTTGTAGTTAACAAAAAAAATTATCTTTTATATAAAATAATGGTTTTCTTTTTAAATTTATCAAATTAGTTAAGAGATAATTCTTTATGAAACTATAAGCCAATTATAGATAGGGCTACGGTGAGAATGAAAGTTACGATGAGAAAGATAAGAAGAGATTTTCATCTTAAGTTATGATGAGAAAGATAAGAAAAGATTTCCATCTTGGATCATTTCTAGTTGAAAAAAACCACTAAAACAATTCACTTTTAGGTAGCGTTTGGTAAGCAGACTGGACTGGACGGGACGGGACAAGACTAATTGTCTGTCTTATGTTTGGTACGACTAGGACAGAACATGACTAATTGTCTGTCCTATGTTTGGTACGACTAGGACATAACATGACAAAACTGTTAAAATGATCATATTACCCCTAAATGTTGTTCAATGTTATTTTATATCATATAATGATTGTAAAATGACAACAAATCAACCAAAATATATTTTAATTACATAGTTTTCATGCATCACCTCGGCTACCTCTGCACAAGAATTCGATTTTACAATCAAAAGACTGAGAACTCACAACCAAAGCTCCGTGAACAAGAGCCATATCTTGCTCATTGTGTTACTTACAGTTTTACTCTCATTGGGCAGGGTGATTTTTTAAAAAGGAGACTCGAATATTGTGGTGACAAAACCACAAAATTATGACAAGTGTATCAAGATTCTCCAGCTTAAATAAGACCAAATCCTAATAAAAAAACACATGAGTAGCAGGTTGAATAGCAAAATGAAAATAAAAAACGATGACTTACATGGAAGAAGAACTGACAGGTGTTGAGGGAGGCTCGATAATTGTGTTGGATAATTAGGTTTTTTATTAGAAGAAAAAGATAACATAGTCATTTTATATTTAGTCCCATGTTGTTTCACTTTTTTTGGTGGAACAAAAATTATTAAGTTTTGTCCCATGAAATTTAAAAATAGTCTCATTTTATCCTATGTATTTTTTGTCCATGACATGCCAAACATGAGACTATTTTTTTTTGTCCCGTCCCGTCCCATGTAGTCTGCATACCAAAAACATCCTTAAAACACAACTCATTGATTATGTTTGGAATTAAAAGTGATCAATGTTACAAATTTCTTTTCACACCTCTCAGCTTAACTTCCATTCTCGCACGTCCATGACCATGAGACTCTCTACCAAAATTTGTGGGCGAGTGTTAGCCGGTGTAAAAAGTCTCTTTAGGATAAGAGTTGACCTCTGGGAAATGACCATTGAAGTAAGCGTTGACCAAAATTGTTGTTTACCAAAATGATTTTTATGAAGTGTTGACCGTAGGAAATGACCATTATATCCTTCTATTAGAAAAAAAAATGACTAAAAATTATTGTTTACTGTTTATTTTTTAGTTGTATGTCGATTGAAAGTTTATTGTTTATCAACAATTTTGCATATAAATTTAATCATTAAAAAATCATTTTTTTTACCTACTTCCCGTGACATCTTGTTGGTGTGATACAAAACACCAGCAATGCTCTAATTCTCAAACCTGCGTCTCAACCAACTTGCACACACCTCAACCAATCTCAAGGCCTTAAAGTTGACAGTCAAAAAAACCTCCAAAGACCTGCACATAGTACAACACATCCATGCAAATGAACCCTACACCAGATCATGTGAGACCAAACTATTTTCGTGAGAGCTGCGAAACCACATAAATAACACTAAACCTTCACAGTAAAACACCGTGAAAGTTCACTGTTTCCATACATTCAGAATGTTTTGCTATGAAGTTTCAGTGTTATTTTGTAGTCTCACATGAACATAACCCCCTACACTATATCAAAGGATATACTATAGGTGAGTTTAGTACACAAACTTGGACGAATAATGGCAAGATAAGAAAGACTCGTGGAAAGTTTAGTAGTTTTAATTTGACACAAATAATTTAGTAAATTATCAGTCTTTGTCCTTTTATCACCCTATTTTTGTTCCACTTTTTCCGGGGGGACAAAATCATCCCACTCAGGTCCTTCTCCATCTCAATCTAATGTCGCGTAAAATGTGAGACCACAAGTTTTATAGTATCCAGTCAAATCCGTCCTATCCAGCGCACCAAATGCATCCTACAAGCTCTATATTATAAAACCACATCGAACTCATAAAAGACGAAGCATACACCTGAAAACTAACAACTACCGCTACGTAGTAATGAGATATAAATATAGCGAGAGCTACAAACAGAATTATTAACTTCTTTAAAGGAAAACAAGTTCAAACCAAACCATACAAGGTTTAGGAGAAAGGCATATCACAGATGCTCTGCATAATGGTGCACAACCTAAACCTCCAATTTAATTAGGTGTTACCTCAACTATACATGAAACTGCAATCCTTTTCTATAAATCTCTCCTGGAGGTGGATATAGCATCTCGATTGAAGTCTGGCCAACCTATTTTTCGGCTACCTGAAAAAAAGGATATATACAAAACGACGTTATGATGCATCTATATCTACCGATGCAATATAAACCTGTTATGGAACTCCAAAATAGAACACATTCCTTATCAAGATTGTTATGGATTATAATATCTTGTTATATATACAACCGTAGCAATCAAGTGAAAACACATTATCCCTAAAGATTGGAACGATACTAGCAATCAAGAGTTTGAGCAGTTTCGATAACTGCCAGAATGAAAACAGCCATTGATGCCCTAATATGACTATAAAGCCCAAAACCAAAAAGCGTGTTCAACACCATGAGTTCATAATCCAGTAGCAATAAAATCACGACAAATCACGCTGCAATAGCACCAAATTCGTGTTCATATTGACTGCCTAGCTAATACCACACAGCATTAGGGGTGTAATTACTAATTAGGAGTGCTCAAAAAACCAAACAACCAGACCAATCCAACCAAGAAAAACCAAAAGAAAAACTCTCAGCCCGAGGTAACCCGACACATAGTTGATACAAAATTAGGACAAACCGCATCTACTGATGTAACGCCCCAAATCCTATATTAGAAGCCGTTACTTTCTTATTGATACAACGAAGTCTTGAATATGAACTTGAAATTAGCTTTATTTATAACTTAGCTTATAATTACATCATAAATATTCTTTTGAGATCTCACTTGAGACACGTAAGTATGCTATACTTGCCTTGAGGTTTGCTTACCTCGGGGTCCATAAAGGCTGTCCCATAAGGGAAGTTTGCAAGACGTCCCTTCTTGTAATATCCCATATGTTGGATGTATAGTCATACTTACTAGACTTGCTTTGTGTAAAACATGTCATGTGTGTAAAACACATACTTACTCATACCACATCATCATGCATATCTTGAATATATGGATGTATCAACATTTTCATGTAAAGCAAACATGCCAAAACATCTTATAATGCATAAAGTACTCTTATATAGAATGCATGTATCTCATAAGGTACTCACCTTGATTATGCCTGGCTTTTCCTTTGATTATTTAGTTCAAGCTTGATGATGTATAGAGAGAGGTTTCTTATTTTTGGTATGGAACTAATAGTAACACTTCAACCAACTACTTGTTCTTTTTGCTCTCATGTTGTATTCTTATGAGAATTTAACACCTAATGCTTAAGATAGAGAAATCTTGACACATCATGCCTCTAGCTCTTGCTTGTCATCATGAATTTTGCCAACAACTAGCTTGCTATGTCATACTTACTAGACTTGCTTTGTCATGCTTAGTAAACCTGCTTAATCATCAAATAGCTTGCTAACACATCCTTCTAGCCTTACAACTCATCACTTTAGGTTTGATTTCTCATGCTTTGCCTTGTAAGCTACTTGTAGACTACTTGTAAGATACTTGCCTTGAAAATATGATAATTTAATAGATGCTACAACTGCTGAAACCTTTTTAGAGTACTTAATTTGCTCAAAATATTTGTATTTAAGGCTTAAAACATTGTAATTAATAAATATAAAAATAGGGTGTTACAATTGGATTGGAATTGGGTTAGGTAATTCAAACTCAACCCACATAATATGGATTCAATATTATTGTTAAGTCCTTGATTAATATATGTATATTGGACATTAGACCAACCCACAATTAGTTATATTCAAAATTATAGTTATAACTACAACCGAAATTTTACTTTATTATTTACATGAACCTTCAACTTCTTTTTAATTTGTTAGCCCTTTTTGAATGTCCTTATTTTGATTTACTTCTTTTACACATAAACGCTTAGCTAGATTGTAAAATGATGTACCAAAGTTTCAACCTGACCAACTCAACCCGCATGGTTTGGGTTGGGTTGTAGTTTTGCGTGGGTTGGGTTGTGTTGAGATTTTTCAACCACAAACATTGGGTTGGGCTATTCAAATGCCTTCAACCTGGCCATCCCAACCCATGTGCAGCCTTTGCAATTTACTCCCTCCATCACAAAATAAAATATTAGTGATTACAAATATTTGTAAAATGACGTCTACCCATCAATTACAACCAGCTAAAAAATAAATAAGGGTATATTTGGTAAAACAACATCTTTCCTTCATTTTCCTGCTCAAAAACATGCAAACTTATTTTTTTCCTTCTCTTTCCTTCCTCTCTCAAGAACACAAATATAAAAATTCTTTCCTTCCCTTCCTTTTCTTGTCGTTTCTTTTCCATCCCTTTATTTTCTTTTGAAAGTATCCACTTGTTTTCGGGACAGAGGGAGTATTATTTTGAGGAAACCTTGATTTATATAAATTGCGTCATGGTAGAATAAAAGAAAACAATATCAAACCAAACCTAAATCATCCCTGAACTTAAAGCTATTCAAAGCATTTTTATCTAAAGTGAAGAAAAACAAAATCTAGTCCTTCAAGAAAGTCGTCTCTTAAGGACACCTTCTACGTATCTTCTTAATTAATCATAATGGTATCTTCCCCATGTGTTGCCTCAGTGGTAGGATGTTGATATTAACTGTTTTTGTGAGTTTGGCAAAACAGATTTTGGGCTAATATGGTTCTTTAATATGTATGTAAAAGGCAGTTGTAAGCAACGAGGTTGACAACATTTTGGTGGTCTCATGAATATTAGTTCACATCACCATATGCAAGGGTGCTATGAGTTGGCTAAACTAGTTAGTATGCTTATAACCGGTTTGGGTGGTGACATTGGTAGATGTTGGGCTTGGTTAAAAGTTGGTTTGGAAGATGTTGGACTTGGTTCAAAGTTGGTTTGGGCTCTAATTGTGACAACTTCTTGCTGTGATGAGATGCTCAGCATGGGCTTCTCGAGCGTGTATTGATGGATGCTGTTTTGCTGTTGTCCATAATGTTGTTATCAGCTATAGTGTTGGTTGAAGCTTTAGGTTGTTGAAGGTAATAACTTCATGGTTGAAAGGCTAAAGGTAAAAACTTCATGGTTGAAAGGCTATAGGTAAAAACTTCATGGTTGAAGCTTTGGGTTGTCCAGAATGTTGTTGTCAGCAAGACTATTTTGTTAAAGCCTATAGGTAAGAACTTCATGGTTAATGAAGAATAAAATGAAGCAGTAGAATTTCAAAAAGAAATCAAAAGACGACTAATATTAATCTAATTAAAGTTGCACAAAGTATGTTTTCTGGATCGCATTTGTGTATCTATAGAAAAAAGATATTCTAAGTAATTAAAGATAAAAATATAAATTTTGGTTCAATAGCAAAATAGTCATATTGTATACCCTTAAGGGCATTGAGAGGTGGTTTGTAGGAACCCCCTTATAATGTAATTCAATGGCCTTTTTGTTATTTCTCGGTTGTCATAACTAAAAGTTTATCATGATGGCGTAGCCTCTAATACTTGAATACCAATATAATTAAAAGGGGTAAGTTATGGCCTCTAATACTTGAATAACACTTGTTAGAGCAAGATGCAACCATGCATGCTTGTAAGATAAAATAAAATATCATGCATAATCAAGCAACCTACCAAAATAGCACAACAAAATCAAAGACATAGATCAATCATATTACCTGGTTAAGTGGATTATCTGGAGATTTTTTCCATAATTTCCATATCATATCCTTATATTGGGTATGAGTGAGACCAGGTTTCTCTGCTTTCAGCTGTGGAAGCTCAGCTTCTTCAAAAGCCTGCAAATAAATAATTCCATAATTAAGCAAGATCAGATGAGCATACTCATAGTGCCCATTCAGCCACTAGTTAAGCTATAATTAATGAATGTTAATGATGCTCAAGGTTTGCATATACCTTGCTTTTTTAGGTTCAAAATAAACGCAAGGAACTTCAATTGATATGTATCGGTAAGCTATATCTTTGGCATTAATGGTCACTATGACGAAGCTTCTCTTGAATATCATCATGTTACAAATAATGAGATACAATGCAAATGCAAACTCGTTGAATTTCTCCTCCTCTCTTTTCTATAGGTTGTTTTCGCCTTTATGACTTTGATCAACTACTACTAAGCATGTTTTTGAAGTACAGCACTTACCTAACCGGTTAATCAGCCCTATAAAAGAAATATTTGAATTCTAGACAAACATAGTTGGGTTATATGACGAAGACACAAGATTAACAAATAAACAGGAGGAGAAAGAGAGCTTTGTTATGTTACTGAACTACTCATCAACCAAAGTAATAACCATTCAACTCAAAACATGCATCACGTGGAGAGAAATTTTATAGATTTGTATGAGTTCCTTAAAGCAACATATGTATGATTATTCTCATCCCAATTACCAACGACCGAACATGCTAAACTACAAATAAACCTCAAGATAGAACACTAAACACCATGGACGACATTGTCAGTAATGCTGCCTAAATAAACATAAATATATAATTGTTCTGATTACTGCATCCACCTTACATTCTTAGAATGATAGAAGCAGAATATAACTAACAAAAACACAAACTTGTTCATACCGACACTCAGACAAGCAAGGACGGTAACTAATTTAATGCAAAGACAGCTCTCCTTGTATGAATCAATAAACTTTACAGGCCAAAATGCATTGCACGGACCAAAAACATCACAAACCCACCACATTAGTTCTAATCTAGCCAATCTTATCACATTGATCAATGGTCTACAGTGATAGCAGGAGGATGAGCTAATCTGGAAATGAATTATCCAATAAAAATCAAGGTTAAATTATTTATATAATTGAACTCCAATAATCTATAGATGCAGCTAAACAGTGGGAACTCAACAGCTACAAGTTTTGTATACCTTTAGTGTACATATGAATAGATATTTGGTTACTTATCGGATTTTATAAAGCCCCATACTTCAAAAAATACCCAAATCATACAATCTGGAAAAAAAATCCACATGTCAAAGAGCTTTAAACACACCAATAATCAACTGAAAACATAAAACGCACCTTAAACGAGGCTTTGAGCCTTTTCTCGGGATGCTTATCCACTGGCAAGCTATCGGCAACCGACATCTGTGCAATCGCTTCCTCGACTGACCTAGCCTCTATTATTGCATCATCACGATTAGTATTCTCAACAAGAATCATCTTCTCATACTCCTCCTCCTTCGCGGTTCGACTCTGCTTCCGTTTATCCTCCTCCGCCTTCTTCAAGATCTGAGCTTGCTCCTCCTCCTTCCGCCGCCTCAGCTCCGCCTCCGTCACCTTCGGCACCGGTATCGCAACCCTAGTTGTTTTCTTATCCACCTTCTTAAGCGACTTCTCAAGCTCTTTCTCCTCAATCTCCGCCAGTCGCCGCGCCTCCGCCTTTCGAGCGGCAGCCTCGGCTCGTTTCTCCGATTCCTCCTCGCGTTTCTTCGCCGCACGTGACTTGGCTCCCTCCGCTTCACGCCAGTACTTCTCCTCCTTGTCACGCGCTTCCTTCTCCTTACGCTCAGCCTCGGTGGCGCTCTTCCGTGCCTTAGCGGCCTCCGCTTTGCTGTTCACTCCCATCTTCTTCGGCGGCATCGTAACGATTTTCCGATTACAAATTCCGATCCTCTGCCACCAATTTCTTCCTTCAGTTTGGAGAATCGGATGAGTCTTTTGATCGGATTTTGTGTGTTGGTGTCAGTGCGTCTTCATTTTGTTCCAGAAATGTCGTTCCGTTTTAACACGTCATCAATGATGGGCCGTTCTTTAAGGCCCATTACATCAAAAGCCCAACCCAATAACCCACTGGCTCATTGGTTTTGGGAAAAAGTTTAAAAAACCCAATATACTTTATTGTTTGGGATGATTAAGTTTTTTGATAATTTTTTGGAACAAATAAGTATTTAAACATTCTAAAATCTGTTAAATAATTCTTTGAAATTTCTAAAACTTGTTAGATACATTCTTATGACCTATAAAACTAGTTAATATGGCAAAATAATAGAAAAAGTTCTCAAAAAAATCAGTGGATTTTCATATTTTGAATGATTAAGTTTCTAAATATTTTTTGAACCAAAAAAGTATTTACATCTATAAAATGAAACAAATATACCAAAAACGTACTTACATTTAAAAAAGATTATTGATGAAATTTGTTTTAATTGAAAATAAAAAATATTATGTTAGTGATTTAAAAAAAAAGATTTAAAAAGAAGTACTGATTAAATTTATTATAATTAAACGTAAAATATATTTTGTATATGATTTCTCAAATTAAAAAAATTAAAAAAAGATTACGGATGAAATTTATCTTAACTGAAAATAAAATATACTTTGTTGGTGATTTTCCAAATTAAAAAAATAGAAAATAATTTAATTAAATTATTAACGGATTAACGATAAAATTTAACTAAATATATAATTAATTAAAATTCGTCACTAGTGTTGGTATATTATGCATGAATTACTTATATCTAATTGATGGCTAACTTGACCACCGTTAGTCGATTTAACATGGTTACATGTTAATAATTGTGAAAAATTGTGCTTGAATTTTGTCAGTGATATAATTTCACCGATGAATTAGTGACGAATTTTAATTAATTATGTATTTAATTAAATTTTATCGTTAATCCCTTAGTAATTTAATCAAATTATTTTCTATTTTTTAATTTAAAAAAATTATTAACGAAATATATTTTATTTTCTAATTAAAATAAATTTTATAAATATTTATCTTCTAATCTTTTTTTATTTTATTTAATTTGAAAAATCACATAAGAAAAGTATTTTACTTTTAATTAAAATAAATTTAATCAGTGATTCTTTTTAAATCATTTTCAATTTTTTTTAATTCAAAAATTATTGATAAAATATTTTATTTTCAATTAAAATAAATTCTATCAGTAATCTTTTTAAATGTAAATATTTTTTTGGTATATTTGTTTTATTTTATAGATGTAAGTACTTTTTTGATTTAAAAAATATTTAAGGAGTTAATCGTTCAAAATATGAAAGTCCATTAGTTTTTTTCAGATTTTTTTCATTATTTTACCACATTAACCAGATGTACAAGTTATAAAGATGTATGTAACATGTTTTAGAAAGCCCGAGAAGTTATTTAACAGATTTTAGAATGTCTAAGGACCTATTTGTTTCAAAAAATTGTCCAATATGATGTCAAACATTAAAGTCCATTGGATTTTTTTAGACTTTTCCTTTGGTTTAATTGGTATTTGTTTCGGATTTTTAAATTTATTTTAACTATTTATGTCCATATCATTTGGTTCATCTCAAGAGCGGTTTGTTTACCTCTTAATAGTTCCATTAAGAGGCAACCTCTAAATCGCTGATAGGTGAATCTTGTTTAGCAAAAAAATGTCTGTCTCTTAATGGTTCTAAAACCCTCTGAATAATTTTGTATTTTGGGTCTCCCTTAACTATTTAGCGTCTTAATTTCATTCTGAACAATTACCAAACAATTATATGTTATCTTGCACTACATCATAAGAGCATTTTAATCATTCTGACCACTTAATCATTCTACACTAAACCATTCAGCAATTGTCAAACAGTCCCTAAATTATATATGATTAACAATATATCAATATAAGTGAGATTACACTAAACAATATTTTGAAGAGATAAATTGCATTGTGATTCACATGTTTGGTAGGCCAGTTTATCTAAGAGGCCGTTTACCAAACATTTTCCCGGTAAGTATTTACAGGTAAAATTTAACACCATTATTTTCTTACCATGTAAGATTTTAGTCCACCAAAACGATATAGTATACAACAATTTACACGGTAAGCGCTTACCGTGGTAAAATGCGTCACCCTCACTTACCGGGTAAGACTCTTGGTCCTTGTCTCGCTCTTACCAAGTAAGATTCTTGATCCTTACCATATTCATCTGGTAAGGTAAAATAACTTGGTGTTCACTTACCCGAGTAAGCGTTTGGTAAACGGCCCCTAAGCCTGTATAATGTATTGAAACGACATCATATAGTTACACTTTTAACTTCCTTTCTTCTAGTCATCTTTTCGCTTGTTTCTTTCCATTGTTGGAATTAATAATTAATGATCCGAAATCATCATCGTTTCCAATTCCCCTACATCGATGTTAACATTGCTGATTTTGTCACTACAAAAAGAAGTTGAAGGGATTCAATAGTTTTGATTTAGCATCATAACAAAACATGGATAGTATAAATTATTGTGTCTAGCAATTCCTGTTTTTGTATCTCTAATCTTAATTTACGGCATATTAAGTCTAGTTTTCAAGAGGTAAATTTTGGCTTAAAAGGACATGGGCTTCTAGATTGAACTTTTCAAATAAGGGTAAGACCTATCATCCACATATTCCATGTAATTTTCTCATTTTACATGTTGGGTTAAGATCCACATTGAGATCTCAGGGTGTGTTTGTGTACCTCTTAATGATGTCATTAAGAAAGAAGGGTTTGATAAGGTCAGACATTATTTTGTATGGAAAAAAATAATTAACAGGTCTGAATAGTTAAACAAGTCTGATTTGTTCCACTAACAATCCACCCCCAAAGCATTCAGATCCCATCCCCATCCCCACGTTGTGCTCCATTTCTCGCTTCTTCATTCTCTCAAATCTCATCAGCAAGCAACTGATCTTCTCCATTCCCACTTCCACCAGCAATCGATCCTCTCCTCACTCTCGATTCTGATTAGGGCGCACTCTCAATTCTGAAAATTCACCACAATAGCTTTTGTTAAATATTAATTTTCATTTTACATAAGACTGAGAGTAAAATGGTAATTCCACGTCATTCTAACCATTGATTAAGAACAGTTTCTAAATAATTATTTCCTATTCGGTACTAAATCATACAGAATGTCTTAATCATTCTACACCAAATGCTCCCGAAACTGCCAAACAACCCCTTAATATATGTGCATTGAAATTGCAATTTTTTATAGCTATTTTTTTAAATAAAAAATAATCATAATATAACAAAATTGGAGCCAAAACAAATTATATATAAAAAACAAGCAATTGTATTCTTCCTTAATTTAACATTCATATTGTTATACTTTTATAATATCTCATGGAGTTCTCGCGGCCGGGAAAGTTCTCGTTTGAACCTAACCTCATGTATATACTTTTTGTCAATCTGGTTTATTGATATAAAATTGGATGACATTAGTCTCAGTTACAAGTCGAAGGTTTTCAGGAAACAAAATGGTTCTATTCTTGTGGGTAGGGCACATATTTGCATACATTTATTTAGCACAGTTACCACAAACTAATTAGCTCTCATTTGATTAAGCCCTTATATATATGTATATGTATATATATATATATATATATATATATATATATATATATGAAATTCTTCATCCACAAAAAGGTATGGTGGTTATTCAAACACTCTCACAACTCAGATATATTGAGTATGTTTAGTTTTCAGTTTTGAACATAAGATACCAATATAAAATAAGAACTGTAATAACAAACACAAAGTAAATATGCTATAAAAGCCATATAATATAATGAATGAAGGTAATATATTTATAATGAGTTAAGTAGAGCAAAATATATCAACTACTCCACATCATTTACCAACTCTGTCCACAACATTATTATATTTTACCATAAAATTTCTATAAACCCCCCCAAAAAAAACTATTATGTGACCAAAAAATTAAAATAAATAGAGAATTAATTCCAAATTTGTTGATCACATTGACTACACCCTTCTTGAGCAATATCATCAATCTGTATCGGAGAATTATACACCCCTTTAATTTCCCAATCGGCCGGCAGCACAGTATTGGCCCAAATCCACTTTCCGTCGTAGCCGGAGATCACCAACAACCGCAGTTGCAGGGCACCCGCCAAATATCGATTGGTGTCCCAAACAGCCCCATAAATTCTGTTCATAGGACTCCAGTTTGATGAACCATCCTATAAAAAAAAGAAATCCAACCACACATTAGAGAAAAAGTATAAGTGTATTGCTACTACGACAAAATTAGTTTTATAGGACCAAACTATAAAACGTCATATCTAAAAACGTTAAAATAGGTTTATAGGATGTTTTTATGTGTTTTAACAAGTTTTTTTTAGGATGCTTTTAAAATAAAGTGTCGTATTAGATATTTTATAGGACATGTCTTACAAACTCATCTTTTTATAGGAAACTTGTTTTTACGAGACTCCTTTTAAAATAGTAACGTATAAAATGGTTAATACGACATTAAATTTTAAGAATGTCCCGAAAAAAATTTAGAATGCCTAAAATATCCTATAAACTTATTGTAACATTTTTAGATGTCATGTTTTTTGATTTGGTCCTATAAACTCAAGTCCTATGCAATACTTTTTTTTAGAACACTTCTTATTCTAGGCGTCGTATAAAATCAATTTTACTGTGGTGTGTGCACACGTTACAAGTCATGATTGCAGGGTTTTTAAGTACCTCAGCAATGTCAATGGCGGTGATTTCAGTTTGACCACCTTGGTATAAGATTTTGATTGCAAGATAATTAGGTTTTTGACTCGATTCTTCAACTCTCACAGCCAGTTTCTGGCCTTTGTAATCACATGGTATTCTGTTTTTAAATGAGAAAAAGGGGTTAAAATCATGCACTTTGTTCGTTTAAAAACTTTGGCAAAAAAAATAGTAAAGGGAGTGTTTGGGATTGCTTATTTGAAACAACTTATGCTTTTCTACAAAAGTCTTTATCAACTTATTATAAGTTATAATGGTTTAACTTCTTCAAAACTTCTTATTACCAGTTTGGTACCGGTATAAATTGTTTATCCAAACACTCAGAAGTGTTTATTACTGGTGTCACGTCGGAATAAGTCAATAAGTTGTTTTTATAAGCAATCCCAAACACCCCTAAAGTTTGGTTCAGTTATCAAATAATTTTTCTTCTAATTATATATTCAACTATGTTTCTTATTTTGTAAGATTTGATAACGTGAATATCATTTCATAAAATGTTTAAAAAAAGGGTTATAGTGAACATGACAATACGCTTGATATTTATGTTATCAAATATTATAAGATCAATATTTATCAGTCAAATGGGTAAAAAAAAAATACACAAATTTAAACTTTGTTACATTGATTAAGAAAAAAATTGTTACAGTAAATGAAAATTAATGAATTATCACTACAACAAAATTGGCTTTATAGGACGACTAAATTGTCTAAGCGTTTTAATAAACTACTTTATAGAACTTAAACTTATAAGACCAAACTATAAAACGTCATATTTAAAAATGTTACAATATGTTTATAGAACGTTTTTATATGTTTTAACAAATTTTTTAAAACATTTTTCAAAATAAATTGTACTATTAAACCCATTTTTATACGACATTTGTGTTTATAGGACACTTTTTCAAAACGTCCTAAACAAACTAGTTAAAAATGTCTAAAAACGTCTTATAAACCTATTGTAACACTTTTAGATATAATGCTTTTTGGTTTAGTCCTATAAACTTAAATCCTATAAAGTATTTTTTTATAACACTTTATACGTCCTATAAAATCAAATTTGTGTCCAAAACCTTAACGTGAAATATCTAAAATACCCTTACCTTTTATATTCCACATCGACAACAGCAAGTTTCAACAAGTATGGACGCATGCCCTTCTTAGCCATGCCTATGAAGGCTCTGTGACTCAACACAAAATCTGTTTGATTGCTTTGAGCCAGATCGGTTACTATCACTCGAGTCCCATTTTCGGTACACAGAGAAGAATCTTTGCATCTAACCTGCAAAATTACATCCATACCCTCATTCAAGACACAATTTCACTACATAATATGATAAAGACCAGGGTGAAGAATGTAAAATATATATGAATTCCAACCTGAAAACAATCGCCACAACCCGACCCGGATTTGTAGATTTTAGGAACAGCTGCAGCAAGATGGTCACCATACAAGGCTGTAGCTAAGGAACCATACCCACATGCTCCAGCTGCATTATTTTCAAAAATTAATCAATACCCATTAAATTATTTCAAGAAATATTATATGGGTCGATCTCACAATTGATATTTTCAACTAAAAAACCAATGTTTGGGGTCATAATCAAATGTTTCATGCTACAAAGCTTGCAAAAACTGATGAACACCCACAAAACTATTTCAAGAAATGTCATCTGGGTCCTCAGTAATGATTATTTCAAGTAAAGATCCAATAAAAGGGAAAGAAAACGGATTGACTGATCCAAGGACGGACCAAATTTTTTTTGGATACGGTGACACCATATAAAACGATTGCACCTTCTATAATACGGTGGCACGTGGCACCTAACCACCCCTCTAGGTCCGTCTATGGAGTGATCTTGGAACCCACTCCCAGTCACTGATTTTGAAGAGGTTTATTCTTTGCAGACTTTTCAAGAAATCTTTAAAGAAAACATGACTGAGTAAAGATTTCTTACAAGAAAGAGAAAAAGCTTTTGGGAAGAAAGAAACTCTGCTTTGATGAACACATCTATCACATGCATTTATGGAAGAGATGGAGATGGAGATGGAGATGGAAAGAAACAAGCTGAAGCAGAAATAGAAGAATCCCATTTTCTTGTTGAGTGTGTGTTCTTGTTTTTGATTTGTAAGCAGAAATGGATTTTTGGATTATATGTCAATTCATAGTGGGGCCCTATTTTATATATATATATATATATATATGTGTATAAAGAGTATATATATCGACTAAACGAGTAATAAATAAATTAAAACATGAAAGTTTATCTCATACGTTATATTGAAAGTTTTATAGGCTAAAATAACAAAAATGTCTTACAAAGACAAATTGACATATTGAAGTAGAATCATAATCGGCTAAAAGAGTAAATGCTAAAGCATTACAATTGAATTAATGTATAACTGACTAAAGGTTAAAACAAATAGATCGTCCTTATGATTAAGTAATTTTAACGGTCCTTGTCTCTTTTTTGAATTAACGGAACATGTTGTGGTTGCGTTTTTAATGAATTACATCCTCATGGTTGCATGTTTAATGAGTTGGGTCCATGTGGTTGCAAATTTTTAACAAGTTCGCTCCCTATATAAATCAATAACCTAGGAGCCTGTAGTTACATTAAGGACTCGACTTGTAAAAATGCAACCACAAAGACGTGATCAGTTGAATTTTTCATAGAATGAACAAGGACCGTTAAAAACACATATATAACCACATGGATGAAACATGCATTTGCTCAAACATATATAATCGGGTAAAGAATTACAACTGGACAACCAGTATCTTTAATATTCCATACACATTTTACTTTATAAACAATTTTCGGCTTAATTGAAATCAGGTGATTTTGATATGACATTTTTTATATAAGCAAGAATCATAACTGGACATCCAGTATCTTTAATATAATAGTTTTTGTTGCAAATGCAAATATAACAGTCCTCAAACAACTCGATTAAATGATAGACATTAATTGTGCATTCTCCTCTTGGCTCTAGAATAGAAACCAGAGAAGTTACTTTTTTTTTACAACTTAAGATTTACGTTATTAATAGTTACAAAATTTATCGGGTCAAATTTGGTAAGAAATAAGGAGAATTAAAAAATTGTTACATTGAATTGAAATTAAAAATAATTAATTTTATTGTATTTTGGCATTCTAAAAATATATTTTTTAAAAGGTAATTAATAATTTATTTATTATTGTATTTATGATATTTTATCAAATAACACCTAAATGTTTTATTTCCTTCTCCATCGATTGCATGTCTAGGTCGAATAATTTAGTAATTTTTGTATTAATAAACAATAAGTTATGCTTAATTAGTAAGTTAGTTTATGGTTTAAAAAAGAGTTTTTTTATTAACCTGGATATCCAACACGCTATGGGAGCCGACTAATCTCAAGGAGACTATCTGCTTTGCAAATAATCAGGAGTCACTGCATTTGAACCTTCGTGGCCACACGAGAATTTTTTTCCTCTTTAGATTTGAACCTGAGACATTCTGGTATTTTTGACTTTTGGAGCTAAGCTCAAACCAATCAGGCACCACCCTTATGGTTAAAAAAAATTCAAGTAGTATAACAAATTAACGTTCAATTTTTCTTATTTCATATAAATTATTTCGGATCTAGATGGCATCAATTATTATTGAAATGACATTTTTTCATGTAATCAAGAAATTACAATGTACAATGTCAACCAATATCTTCAATATAATATAACAATCTTGTCATGGCATATGCAAATCTCGTAATTTTCAAGCAATTTGATTAGGATAGGCGGTGTGCATTCTTCTCTCAGCTCCGAAACAAAAGTGAGAGAAGTTAGTTTCTATTATTCTTTTGACAACTTTATATCTACGTTATCAATAGTTACAAGATTTTACTGTTACGGATCAAATTTGGTAATAAATAAGAAGAATAAAAAAATTATTGTTATTAAATTGAAATTAAAACAAGTTTTATTGTATTTTAATGGATTTTGACATTTTGAAAAAGAGAAAATACTTTTTAAAAGGTAATTTTTTTTGTTACTCTATAATATATATATATATATATATATA